GCCAAGCTAACTCCCCTCACTAAGAGGCGTCTAATCTTGATCGCGGGTGGCGAGGCTGTCGAGATCTTGTGAGGCCGAGAACGCATTTGAGGCCCTATCAGCGAGGTCGCAGAAGGATGATGAAGAAGCCACCAGGGTCAGGAAGGAGCGGATGAGTTGCTCTAGAAGGACACCGAGACCCACCAGCACATCCTTGACCTTCTAGGTGAAGTTGAGAAGGAGAGGGATCTGAAGCTAGGGGCCGAGGAAAAGCTCATGGCCCTAGAGTAGAGGGCGAGCCTGGATGCCACGGTGGTCGCTTGGCTATGCAAGGAGTGAGATGAACTAATCCAAGCCGCGGTGAGGCTCTGCTCAGGCTCTGTTGTGGCTCAGGAGGAGAGCGACCAGGCTTTCCTAGAGCATGACCAGGCCTGCCAAGAGCACGACAACATGCAGTAGAGGGTTAGCTCCCTCTAGGCCAAGCTCGAAAGCACGATGACCGAGAGGCTAGAGGGCGAGAGTGTTTCTGCTAGGTTGGCTATGGTTCTTGCCGAGCTGAAGAGGACTCTTGAGGCAGAGAGTGACGAGCTTGGTATCCTGAGTGCTGCCCTTGGAGTGGTATGCGATGACCCGAAGGTGGTGCGGTCAGAGGGGACCAGCTCGCTCACGGGCCATGCCATCGAGATCAAGGCTCAGGTGCGCTAGCTCGAGGGGAATGCCCTTTGCGCTGGGGTCAATCAGTCCTTCATGATTGCTCCTTCTCATTATGGGGACAACATCGATCTAGTGGCGATGAGCCAATGCTACATGCCCGGTTATGAAGTCCATGAGCTGGAGGAGAAGGAAACGGCAGTGGCTCCCCTTTCGTAGGACCTAGTGGATAGGATAGAAGGCATAGTTATCCCCTAGAGGGGCTAGTTAGTTAAATAGGTCGGGCGATCATTTTTGTAATAATTGGATAAGTTCCAACCCTTGTGTTTTGTTCAAACAAGTCTGTTCTTTTATTTCGGTGTGAACAAATTTGTTTTTTCTCCCTTTTATGTGTGAAAAGGGGTTAATGCGTTTTGACCCTTCTGTTTGTTAAGACCGTAGAGTTCAAGGTGTATGCGGGAAACTTTGATCACACTGGTAAGCAAGAGCGTCATAGCCGCTAGGGCGTAGGTTTCTTGTCATCCGACCAGCCTTACTCAGTCATTCATCTCTACAAACCTTGCCACTAGGTTTTTTAATGTGAGGAAGGGGTCGGGTACAGCGATTGTTTTAGAAAGGGTATATATACCCTTATTAGCCCCCGAGTGAGGCTCGACCCCTTGCCATTGCTGGGGTAGGGTGTCACTAAAGATCGAGGAGAGGATAGCAAAACTAGTAGGAGAAAGCGTCTATTGTTTTACAAACGTTATTCTTAGTTTTCCCACGCACCCCCTCCCTAGGATCTGAGCCATAGTTCTGCGACCGTGCATTCGTTCTCCTTGCGAGTCCAACTTTCCTCGAGCCCCCCTATGTAGCAGGGGTCCAGTCGAGGGTCGGCTCGTCTTTGTGATCGTCACCCCGTCCGCGGTTTTCACAACCGGAGGGGTTGAGCTAACGTCACTTGCCTCGATGGCTCGAGTGACACGCTCGGTGAGCTCGCTAATGGGCATGTTTGAGTGGAATCTAGGTCCATTGTTCATGATGGGGTCGGCATAGCCCTCATGTGACATTCCACTGCTCCTTAACCTGCCTCCTGGTAGATGCCCGAGTCGTTCTAGGGACCGATTTAGGTAGCCCGCTAGCCTCCCCTCGATGGAGATTCTGTGGGCTTGGCTCGAGGTTAGGATTGAATGAGAAGGTCGAGATGACCCTGTCCGCTTCTAAGCAGGTCGGGCAAAGTCCATTAGGGCTCATCTGCATTTTTCCTCTGGCTCTGTTTGATGCAAGGCAGCCTCAAGCCCTTTGTGGGCTGGCCTACGAACCTCGGTCGGTCGAATTCTTGAGTCAGGGTCGAGCGGCTCGAGCCCCCAAGCCCCATTGGTCTTGGTAGGGGTCGGATGAGTTTTATGCATCACCCCATCTACGGATTCCACAACCGGAGGGGTTGATCTAATGGCACTTGCCTCGATGGCTCGAGTGTCGCACTCGGAAAGCTCGCTAACGGGTATGTCCGAGTGGAATCCGGGTCCATTGTTCGTGATGGGGTCGGCATAGCCCTCATGTGGCATTCCACTGCTCCTTAACCCGCCTCTCGGGAGATGCCCGAGTCATTTTGGAGACCAACTCAGGTGGCCCATTGGCCTTCCCTCGATGGAGATTCTGTGGGCTTGGCTCGAGTTTAGGATCGAACGAGAAGGACGAGATGACCCTGTCTGCTTTTGAGCGGGTTGGGCAAAGGCCGCCGGGGCTCATCTTTGTTTTCTCCCCTAGCTCTATTTGATGCCAGGTGGCCTCGAGCCCATTGCGTGCTAGCCTTCGAACCTCGATCGGTCGCCGCTCATATCGAATTAGACGACTACCGCTTCGTGACGCGACGCGAAGCGTTGTGACACAATAATTACATATGCGATGCTTGGATGTATGAGATGAATGTGTGGATGAATGCATGAATGCATGCATGAGAATGGATGAATGAATGCTCATGCACTAGAGAAGTAAAGTGGGGGTTGGTAAAGTTACCTCGATGGCTCGAGTGACTGGTTCAGGGAGCTCTTACCGGATATCTGGGTCCCTCGTTCATGACAGAGTCGGCATAACCCGCATGGGGCATCCTGCTGCTCCCTACCCATCTCTCGGCAGCGGCTTGAGCCATGCGATTGAGTTGAGCGACCTGCTGGCCTCTCCTTGATGGAGATTCCATAGGTGGGCCCCTCTAAACCCTTCCTGGGAAGGCGAAGGCTAAAGCTCGTGGTGCAGGGACAAAAACTCTGGTCATGCTGGTGAGCAAAAATGTCGTAGCCACTGGGGCATAGGTTTCTTGTAGTCTGACCAGTTTTACTCTGCGTTTGTTTCCGCACACCTTGGCTTTAGGTTTTAGCATGAGAAAGGGGTCGGGCATAGAGAATGTCTATCGAATAGACACTCTTGCCAGTTCCTGAGTGAGGCCTGACCTCTTGCCATTGCTAGGGTCGGGTGTCACTTAGAGATGACCCATCTCTCGGTAGCAGTCCGAGCAGTTTGATCAACTTAGGTGACCTACTGGCCTCTCCTCGATGGAGATTCTGCCGGTGGGCCCCTCCAAACCCTTCCTGGGATGGCGGAGACTAAAGCTCGCAGTGTGGGGACAAAAACTCTGATCATGCTGGTGAGCAAAAATGCCATAGCCGTTGGGGCATAGGTTTCTTGCGGTCCGATAAATTTTACTCAGTGTTTGTTTCCACACACCTTGCCTTTAGGTTTTAGCATGAGAAGGGGTCAGCATAGAGAATGTCTACCGAATAGACACTCTTATCATCCCCCGAGTGAGGCCTGGCCCCTTGTCGTTGCTAGGGTCGGGTGTCACTTAGAGATGACCCGTCTCTCGGTAGTGACCCGAGCCGTTTGATCGACTTGGGTGACCCACTAGCATAGGACTTACCTGCAAAGATAGAGGATGAGATCATCCCGCCCAAGAAATTAGTTAGGCAGATAAGCCAGGCGGTGAACTTGTAATAATTGGACAAGCTCTTAAATTTCGTTATGGCCAAACAGCTTTTTAGACCTTCTCCCTTTTTGTATAAACAAGTTAGTGGGTTTCAACCCTTTCCATTGTTGAGGCCATAAAGCTCGGGGTGCGGGTGAACAAACTCTGATCACGCTGGTGAGCAAAAATGCTGTAGTCGCTGGGGCGTAGGTTTCTTGCAATCTAGCCAGTTTTACTTAGCGTTCGTTTCCGCAACCCTAGCTTCTAGGTCTCAATGTGAGAGAGGGTCGGGCACAGAGAATGTTTGCCAGGTGGATATACTCTTAGATGCCTACTGACTCTTTCCGTAGCTAAGGCTAAAAAGCTTGGGGCGCGGAAAAAACTCTAATCACGCTGGTGAGCAAAAACATCGTAGCCATTGGGGCGTAGATTTCTTGTAGTATGACCAGTTTTACTTAGCGTTTGTTTCCGCAACCCTTGTTTCTAGGTCTCAACATGAGAAAGGGTCGGGCGTAGAGAATGTTTACCAGATAGATATGCT